TGAGGGAACACTCCATCCCCTCATCCAGGCCATTGATGAATAAGTTGAACAGGACCGGACCGAGGACCGACCCCTGGGGGACACCRCTAASTACAGGTCTCCAACTGGACTCCGCACCACTGACTACCACTCTCTGCACCCTGCCACTGAGCCAATTCCCAATCCACCTCCCYGTCCACACATCTATCCCACACCTTYGGAGCTTGCCCACGAGGATGCTGTGAAGGACGGTGTCAAAARCCTTGCTCAAGTCCAGATAGACGACATCCACCGCCCTGCCCTCATCTATCCTGCTAGTCACTCCTTCATAGRAGGCGATCAGGTTAGTCAAGCATGAYTTCCCCKTGGTGAATCCATGCTTGAATCATCACCCCCTGACAGACTTACTTGGAAGTCTTCTTCATCCAGGATCTCCTTCCGCCACTTGATCAAGAAGGCAGCGCAGACGTACAGGTGGAAGTGGGAGAACCCTTCTGGCTCCGACTGTGGACAATAAAACTGCATCAGCTCCACAGCCCAGGTGCAGGAGGGCTCCCTGGGCCGCAGCCGCTCTGCTGACACATCCCTCATGCCCTGCTGGCTGCAAACACTCCACGCTGCTTTGCCTCTCCCCACCTCTCAGATGCCAAAACACCTACCCGGTTTAAGAGAATCGGCGCTGGAGTCGAGGAGGGAGGAGCAGGGCCTGCCTACCTGGTAGGTGTCCCAGAGGCGGATGGTGCAGCGAAGAGGCAACTCTCTCATGAGAAGATTGTTCATCCAGCGAAAGGCAAACTGCAGGTATTCGACCTCGTACCTCCTAAAGTGATTGTGTACCTGCTCTGAAAGAGCAGGTCTCACTCACACACCTGGCAACCATGGTGCCCCAGCTCCTACACCCGCACTGGCCCCAAAAACGTTGCTGGAGGCTTCCAGGAGARCCCTTCTTCCTTCTCCCGACACCTGATCCTCACCTGCGCTGTCCACCCGGGCAAACTCTGTCCCCAGGGGCCCTTCAGCTGATTGCGCCCTGTCCCTTCCACATCAGCACCTTTCCCAATACCCCTAGCATCCCGAATTTCAGCCACTGCAGCTGCCCTGGGTCSCTGCCCGGCTCCTGCTCCCTTGATTACCTACCATCAATGCGGCTGACTAGCTCCTCCAGGGCCTTAACCTTCTTCTGGATCCCCGGCTGTGCAAAGGTGTAGTTATCCTGGGGAAAGAGGCCACGAGTAAGGCACACGCTGCAACAACAGCTACAAGTCATCAGAAGGGTTTCTGCTCAGAGATGAGACTGGTATGAGCCAAAAGGACATGGCTTTTGGCTGCCAGCATTATCCCTGGGATGGCGCAGCATCTATTTCCCCGGAATTTTGCCAACCCAGTGAAGAAGGGAATCTCCTTCCTGCTAGGATAGACGATCCCTGTCCCAGCACCAAAGACAGCAAAGGTGGGCAGAGCCTCCCTAGGCTCTAAATACCAGGATTTAGGCTCACCTGTATCCCATCCAGCAGCTTGCTCATGCACCAGAAGCTATCGGCTTCAATGCTCCGCAGAATGTCCTGCGACAGGTTTGTCACATCAAAGTTTTCCACATCCTCTTCTGCAAGAGAGGCAGGAGAGAGTCAGGAGGGAGGGAGGCATTGGGTGGCTTGTGCGAGCACCAAGGCTGCAGCGAAGCCCTCAACAGCAGCTAGGACTGCTTGGAGGCGAGTGAGCTGGTGCTGGTGGTGGGTAGGAGAAGGCAGTTGGGAGCCAACGGAGATTCTCTTCCTTGCAGATGATCAGGAGGCGCCTGCGATCCTCCTTCACCTGCGTCTGGCAGGACAGTCCCTCCAACCGCCCACACAGACACGAAATCAACATCTTGCAGGGAGACCTGAAGCTGGGCACTGGGAGCGGGACGCAGGGAGCACCGCTCACATCTCCCTGCTCTCAGCCTCCCTGGAAAAGCTGAGGCTTCCCTTTCCTTGGTGGCTGCCTCAAGCGGCTTCTCCCAGACTTAGCACAGCTGCAAGAGCCTCCCAAACCCTCAAGAGACCTTCCTGGCCAGCAAAAGTCTTAAAGAGACTTTAAAAGACTTTTTAACTTTAAACTTGTTAACTTTAAAAGAGTTAAAGCCAGCGYGGAGGCCGAGAGCGGAGCCGCTTCGAGATCTGCTGGGGGCTGACGCTGCCCGGGACCTGCCTGAATTTATCCGAGGGCAAACTGGGCAGCAGTCGGGGGCAGGTCGGCGCTTGGAGCCTTGCAGACCCTGCAGCCTCCTCCATCTTCTCCTTCTCCATTTGGGCGAGGTGTCCCAAATAAGAGGCAAACTTGCTTAACACCCTCCACCTTCCCCAAGCAATGTCCTCTGTGGAGCACAGGATGCTGTGCAGAGGCTTCTGCTCATACTAGGAGACAGCAAGGAGAAAGGACATGAAGCCCCGAGACGAGAAGCCAGGAGAGACTGAGGAGAGCTAGGCCAGGCTTTATAGGACACCAAGCGGGGCTGTTTCTTCCCCACATGCATTCAACAGAATTACTGATCCTATCCTGCTGATCAGGATGGCCTTATGCTGAGGCTGTTTCACAGCTAGATCAATGGGCAGTGAGGCAGAGGAGCACCAAGCTCCCGACCCACAGGCTGCCTCTGAAGCCCTGCCTCCGGAGGCAGACGGGGATTAGGCTAAACRCAACTCAATACACCTCAGGCACTTGAGCCTTTCCTCCCATGCAACTTGCAGAGAGGGCAGGAAAGGAAGGCCACATTCATTGAGAACGTTTCTGAGGAGGAGACAGGCCTGGAAAGCAGGGAGAAGCAGGGCCTGCTCCGAAGCCCTGCGGGCCGGTCGGGCACTGGCACCCAAGGCGGCAGGCGGGCAGGCCGGGGGTGCCACAGGCCGCGCGGACCCCTCGGGCTGGCTCCTCTCCTGCCGGGACCACCTGCCCCGCACACGGCGCGTCCCACGCAGCCCACGCAGCGCTCCGCAGCTGCCCAGCGTCCACCAGGACTCAGCACCACGAACGCCTCTCAAGCAGCAAGGTCTGGGGGGAACCTGCTCAGCTGCCCACCACACACTTTGCTGCTTTATCTCCCAGCAAAGAAAACTCTGCTTTTCCTTCARACTACGAGCAGCGATGACGTTTTTGATGACCAATACCGACCACTTCCATCTGCCACAGTGACCTCTCTTCACAGCATCCTCAAAAGACAGTTCACTGCGAGTCTGCAGAGCTTCAGCCACAGAGCAGAGGACATGCAACAAGCCGGTGAGCTTTGGATGAGCCCTTACAAATACTTCTGTCAGGCAGAATTTCTCTGTCACTAGTAAGGCCTTATAAACTATTTCCCCTTTTCTTGAGATGAAAAATAAGAGCCTTTAGGCATAGGAATTATGGCCTCCCAGTATTAGCATAAACCCCAAACCTTAGCTAGGGCTGGAGAAAGAATAAAAATCCCATGGGCAAAACTGACTTGATGTCCAAGTAAAAGTGAGGGGCTAACAGAGCCCAAAGCTGCAAGAAATAAATTTGCTTTCTGAAAGCTCTCGGCTTCACAGTCACATCTGCACTAGCAGCACAGGACAGAGTATTTAAACAGTGTAAATGCTCAGCAGGGTCTCATTATAATTCACTCCTTGCAGAGCAAGGACTAGCTCCAAATTCGACCTTTGTGAGCCAGATTTCAATGCCCCTCACCTCTGCGGCACAGGGCTCTGCTTCAACTTCCTCAGTGCCCAAAAAGCCTTGTTTTCTTCAGAGCTACAACAATATTAAGTACATTCAAATCAACTGCAAAGCACTTCAGCTTCTGTGGAGCTCAGCAAGGCCACAAAGCTAAAGTCCATTCAACCAGGCAGTGAAGGGCACAGAGAGAGGTCGAGATGCATCTTTGGCATGACCCAGGAGTGGAAGGATGGGCTTCTCTCCAGCCAGCTGAGCTTTCCTCACACGGCTGCAAACGCTGAGGCGAGGAGGCAGCATCGTCCCTTCGAGCAGGGTCACCTTTGAGCAGTGTCACTTACCAACATATTCCGAGAGGAACACAACAAAGAATGGAGTGACCAGGTCATTGATTCCCTGCACATAGCCACTGGCCGGGTGTCGAATGGCCCAAATAAACAGGATTCTTTCAAAGATCTAAGGGAAGAAGGAAGGAAAGCAGGTACCTGTGTTAGCCGTGCATGAAGGAAAGGCAGGAAAACAGCTTTCAGGGCTCAGGGAGCGGAGGTCATGCACTGGCAGGCCCCTCTGCAGCAATACTGTTAGATAAGCAGCAGGCAAGTCTGAGGATATTCTCCTGTATGATGCATAGATCCCACCCCACGCTTCCCAGAACAAGGGAAGGCTGCTCCTCTCCAAAGCCACAGCTTGGAGAAACGTGGGGTCAACTTTGCAAGATGCAGACAGCTTAAGAACCTTTCAACCTCAGGGCAAGGCTGCCTATCAGAGCTACGCACCTTGCTCAACGTCTCGTGGGCAGCTTAGGCTCTTATCTGTGCTCTTTAACCTCCAGCTATGAGCACAGTATTCCCACATGGCAGGTCAGGATAACTTCTAGCAGAACAGCCCCTCCAGACAACCAAACTAGGTACCATTTCCAGCCGACGCAGCCCAAGCCCCACGCTCTGACATCCCACATACCCACATGGAGCTTGTTTCCAAAGCCAACCGATGCTGGCACCTCCTGGCCACCTCTCAGACCCATCACTGCCCCAGACTCTCACATGCTGCTTTACCCAGAAGAGGTTTCGTAGCCCAACACAACGGATGCCTGTRCTGGTCCAAAACTGCAGCTTCAGGTCTCTTACTAGTTCTTGGCTGTATATTTAACAGAGACAGCAACGTCCTACGAAACTGCTGTCACAGCCCATGAGCTGACATCTTTTGGAAACATGGAACAAGACCAGGTGGTTTAAGCGGATATTTGCTGATCAGAGGCAGAGGCACCAGGAGTTGTGAGCCTGGGAGGCCCAGAGCTGCCCTGCGCAGCCAGCTCATGAACAGTAGCGCCAGCCCTGGCTCCACACACAACCGGTCCGACCCACTGCAATGCAGACGAGAGCCTCGCACCCCTCTTACCTCTTGGACAAGCGGCTGCTGGAAAAGGGGAATAAGTGGGTTGGTCCTTGGAATGTCGATGTGGATCTGGAAGAGTGCAGGTTACATAGATGAGCCTTGCTTTTCAGGAGCACAATAACTCACACAGACCAGTGCCCTGAGGGGGATGGACAGAGGCATCGTGCCTGTCCCCAAGGAGAAGACTCCATAGCTCCAGCTAGAGGCACAGTTCTGGTACAAGCCCAGCTGCAGGGACAAGTAGCAACAACAGGGAGGGAAGAGATACCCCAAGACAGAAAGCCAAGCAACAGGCAGAGGGTTTGTACCTGCCGGTAGGTATCCTGGTGGTGCTCCTCGTTCCGGGAATCGTAATACTGCTGGATGAAGCCAAAGTATTCCTCCCGCTTGCGCTGCAAGGTCAGCTTCCGCCGTTCCATGTTTGCGGGGAGATAACCCTGCGGCAAGAAAAGTGATGTCAGGGTGGACCCTTTTCCTCATTTCTCCTGGCCACTGACCATCCCCTGAAATCCTGCCAAGCAGCTGCGCACCCAGAAATCCTCTCAGATACAGAGACCTGGCAACTGTAGAAAGTTGAGGTTCGGTTTTACCAGCCCCTGTGTCTTTTCTCATCTGCAGGTAGCTTCATGGGATTCAGCAGCTTGTTCCCCAAGCAGAGCTAGCCACAATTCCAACACCAGCCTGGGCTTTGTGCTTGCAGACACCCCTATTACATTCCCCGATTTCCAACTACAGCTTGTTGGAAAGCTTGTTGGCTTGTTGTTTGTCACAAACCAACCTGGCTACGGGACACGGGAAGGTCCAGGAACACATGTCCCCAGCTCTGCACAGGCTGCCAAGCTATCCCCACCCACATTCCCGCATTGCAGCTCCGGGTACTCACTGACAGGAGACGCCACGTCACGGGCCGGACCTCTCTGGGCACACCAGGCCAGCTGCATTTCCTCAGCTCATCTGCAAACGGACAGTGGTGGCAATGGATTAGATCCTAGGCACGTCCAGGCACCACTACACCTAGAAGGAGAGGAAAGGCCAGTCTGCTCCTGCAGGCTCAGGACACACTGAGCCTCCAGGAAGGCTCCATGTTAGCAATGACCAGGGATGTGGGTCTAGGGCAAGGTGAGGAGACCCTTTCCACTCAGAAGTGGGGGCAGCAGGGGCCAGGACCCACCAGGCCCCTCGCAGTGGCAATTCAGTCCTCGGGTAGAGGCCAACAAGCCACAGCAGCCACAAGCATCATCTAAGYGATGGGGAAAGACAGGCAGCCCCCAAACTTCCAGCGCTGCCACTGGAAGAGGCTATCAGAACAATCCCACTCGGAGCAGCTATCGGCAGGGATTTTTTCCACCTTGGAGTAGTTGTGACTGCAAATCAAAGCAGGTTTCACTGCACAACATGTCCCCAGTGGCTTTCTGCTTGTGGGCACCAGCACTCACCCAGGTCCGTGTTGTGGCTGGAAAGAAGCTGCCGAAACTTCTCCAGGCGCGTTTTCTCCCTCACTGTCATGGGGGGAGCACCCGAAGCATTTTGGTCAGAGATGCGGGCGACAAGCGGAATGACAGGCCGAAGGGGAAGGGACTGCTGCTTCGGCAGGGGGGTCCGCATGCAGGCATCCTCTGTGAGGAGCAGACAACACAGTGACAGAGGCAGCCCCTCTCCAGCCCCACCAGACACCATCAGAGATTTGACACTGCAGATTTCACCTGTCTCTTTCCTACAGGGCATCACTGGCCCATTACCAGCTCAGCACTTCAAACCGGTTCAGAGGCATCTATCATTCCTCTTCCATCACTTCCCTCCAACTACTTCCAACACTCATCCCTTCTTCCCATCTCCAGGCACCTGGCTGCACACAGATCCAACTTCCTCCATCAGGTCTCAGAAGGTTTGTGACAGGATAACGAGACAGAGGCACAAGGAGTGCGAGGGAATCCCAGAGGAACTGACCTTCAGATCTGCCCTGCTTGTCTCCCCTCTAAACAGTGATCAAGCTAATTGCCAGTGCACAGAGGAGGTGATGCGGCCATCAATGTCACCTGTTGGCAGCAGGACCTGCCAGCTTAATCCCAGCAGGGGACACCCCCTCAAATTGTTCATCAACGACCTGGACGAGGGCACAGAGTGCACCCTGAGCAAGTTTGCAGATGACACCAAGCTGGGTGGAGTGGCCGACACTCCGGAGGGCTGTGCTGCCATCCAGACGGATCTGGACAGGCTGGTGAGTTGGGCAGAGAGGAACCTCATGAGGTTCAACAAGGACAAGAGCAGGGTCCTGCACCTGGGGAGGAATAACCCCAGGCATCAGTACAGATTAGGGCTCGCTCAACCTGCTGCAAAGCAGCTCCACGGAGAGGGACCTGGGAGTCCTGGTTGACACCAAGTTAACCATGAGTGAGCAGTGTGCCCTCGTGGCCAAGAAGGCCAATGGGATCCTGGCCTGCATCAGGAGGATGTTGCCAGCAGGTCAAGGGAGGTGATTCTGCCCCTCTACTCAGCTCTGGTGAGGCCGCACCTGGAGTACTGGGGGCAGTTCTGGGCTCCCCAGGACAAGAGGGATGTGGAGCTGCTGGAGAGAGTCCAGCGCAGGGCTACCAGGATGATCAGGGGCCTGGAACATCTGCCATATGAGCAAAGGCTGAGGGAGCTGGGCCTGTTCAGCCTGGAGAAGAGGAGGCTGAGGGGGGACCTGATCAGCGTGTATAAATACCTCAAGGGAGGCAGTGAGGAGGAGGGGGTCGGCCTCTTTTCAGTGGTGGACAGTGACAGGACTAGAGGAAATGGCTTCAAACTGAAGCATCGGAAGTTCCACAGGAACTTAAGGAAGCATTTCTTCACTGTGAGGGTGACAAAGCACTGGAACAGGCTGCCCAGAGAGGTTGTGGAGTCTCCTTCTTTGGAGATCTTTAAAACCTGGTTGGATGCAGCCCTGTGCCACGTGCTCTAGGTGACCCTGCGTGAGCAGGGGGGTTGGACTCGATGACCTCTGAGGTCCCTTCCAACCTTGGGCATTCTATGATTCTATGATACTGTGAGGGTAACAGAGCAGTGGAACAGGCTATGGAGTCTCCTTCTCTGGAGGTCTTCAAAACCCATCTGGATGCCATCCTGTGCCACATGCTCTAGGTGTGCCTGCTGGAGCGGGAAGGTTGGACTAGATGATCTCTAGAGGTTCCTTTCCAACCTTGAAGATTCTGTGATTCTGTGAATATTCTGTGATTCTGTGAAATAAAGAAAGCACTGGAGAGTGAGCAAACCTGACCCTCCAACAGCACTCCTTGAAGCACAGAGAGCGCAAGAGCCTCTCAGGTGTACGGGCTGCACTGTGGCCTCTTACTCATAACACCGAGGTAGCAGCAAGAGATTGGGTTCAACAGTCAGTTAGGAGGAACTGTGCCCAAAACCAGCTCTTACCAGATGTCCTGGAGAGCTGGGCCTCGCTGCTGGATTTGATGACCTTGCAGTTGGTGGGCATGTCACTGAGGGCAGACTGGGCTCGCTCGGGTTTCGCTCTCAGCTTACTGTGGTTCTCCAGCACCTGCGCTGCCGTGGCCTTGGCCACTTTGGAGTTCAGCGGTTGGGAAGAGGAGGAAGAGAAGTCCTCATCTTCATCATCGCCGATGTCCCAGGCGTCACTGGTGTTGCGGGCAAACTCGTGAAAGCTGGAGGCCTTCTTGCTTTTCATAGGCAAGGCACTGGTCTTGGAGCGGTCCTTGATGAAACTAGAAGCCAGAAAGAAATAGTATCAGAGTCCCAGTATCAGCCAAGCCCATTTTCTTCTCCTCCCAACACGCTAGTTCCAGTCCACTAGCCTCTTTCTTCTCCAATTGCCAGGCCTCTCTTGCCAAACACAAGAAATGTGCTAAGTCTCTGCAGGCTGCTTGCTCTCAGGAGGCAGAGCCGCTAGGATCTCTGGACATGGGAGGCCAGCAAAGAGCTGGAGAGATGCCAGGCGTGTGAGCCCAAAAGGGCGAGAGACATGCACAACATCTCCAGCKCCACCTCTACCCCCGCCGCGGAAAACAGATTAACCCAAAACACCCCTGCAACCTGGGGAGAGGCATAACAGAGCAGCGGGAGAGCCGGGTGGCACTCGCAGACGCAGCTGCAATTGCTCCCAGCACCCGGGCACTGGCCTCTCTCTGTTCCCGGGCACAGGAGGAGCCTCTGCGTTTACCCTTAAGCTGCAGGAGCCAAAGTCCAGCAGCTGAAGCTTGGCAGCGGAGCGGGAGCCTTCACCCCCACACATCACGAGATCAGGAGAAGGAGGCAGCCCAGGAGATCAGCTCTGCCTGTTCCTGCGGAGCCACAGGGCTGCCAGGCAGCTCAAGCTCCCTCTTTCCCTTAATTCCCCCCTCTGACAACAGCGAAAGGCCCAGACACCTCTGCTGAAGAACATTCCCGACTCCTTTGATGGGTCCGATACAGAATCCTGGCTATCAAGGGTGCTGGTGGAAAGCTACCCCTGCTACACAGGGCATGCACAGCCTGGATGCTGCAGGCCAAGGGTGGGCGCTGCACGCAGGGAGCCACRTCAAAAACCAGCTCTGGAGCCTGCTCTGGAAACGCAAGTGTAGCTGGATGGGTCATTCCTACGACCCCAGCCTGGCCTGGGCACGGTGGGATACAAGGCCAGGACATGTTGGTGATCCTCGGGTCCTGCAGGACTGAGCCCAAGCCCTCCAAAGGGGTCTGYGTCTGTAGGACATGAGTTAAACTTACTTCTTGGTGAGCCGAGGGTCCAGCGGGGGATGCTGTGCTCCATAGACAGGCTGAATGCTGCAGGAAGGGAAAAAAATAAAAAGAAAACAAGTGCCAAAAGCCACAGAGAACCCATGAAGCCTCCTCAGCCTCGGCTGGGGTCACATGCCCAGTCAAAAGCAACTTCAATGAAGTTCTGACTGCAAAACCTTAGGTCGGAAGCAGACTGGGTTAGCCCCAGCTGAAGGAGTTTGCAGCTCTTTGCAGCAGAGGACAGAGACCTTTTGGAAGCACTTGGCTCTGCCAGCCCAGCTGAACAAGGAGCAGAGATCTGTTCTCCGCTGCACTGCTGATTCGCCGCGTAACCACGGCCTCCATTTCCCTGGACTTCTGGCCTGAAAGTCCGCTCTCTTTTCCACAAAAGGGCCTCCCTGGTGTGCAGATTTCCCCTGCTGAGCCCATGGGGAAGGGCTGCAGCCAGGGGCACTGGACACTTGAGCCCAACACTGCAGCAGCCCAGGCTCTGCACTGGTTCACAGCTCGAACAGCAGCTTTATCAGCTCCTTCCAACTCGGCCCGAATGAGTCACTACATCCCAGCACCCCAGCATCCGTCCCAAGGAGCAGGACTGAAGCTCCAGGCCACAGAGGCATCTGGGCTCCAAGCGGAGCGTCGCTTGGAAGAGGAGCTATTAGGGCTCATCACCAGCTCTACTTGGAAATGAGCCGAGGAGCTTATTAGCTCCATTTGCCTAACTATCCACAACTTCCCCACGCTAAATCCGTGCTGGGATCTSAAGTCCTCCTGATCTCCTGCCTTGCAACCCAGAGCCCAAGCACACGTGAGACAGCTCCTCATGGGACTCATCCTCSGGATGGCGCCTGGCCACGGCTCGGCACAGCTGGGAAACACCTAGAGATCCAGCTGATGCCAGCGAGGCGACAGATTATTGACACTGCAGCTGAAGGCAGGTCCGTGAAGACTCGGTGCCATTTCAGAGGCTGAACATATTTTATTTGTAGATAGAGAGAGCAGAGTCTACATTTCCCCTTCTAAAACAAGACGCCCTGGTATCTTGCTGCCCATCTCTCCTCGTGGGAATGATCAGAATGCACCACACAGGATAACATGCTGAGCAAGCCTGGCAAAGCACTCCCAAAATTCACTGGAGTGAGAATTCCCTCTGTAAGAACATGAGACAGCAACACAAAATAGCACATACTAGTAGTGCCAAAACACTAAATCTACAGAGGAAAAGCATGAGGTAAAAGCTAATAAACTAAGCAACAAAATTCCACAAAATTCAACAAAATCACAGAACATGAACCTAATGCTGACTCCAAGTCTTTACAAAGCTGCCCTCTGCCTGCTCGTCACAGTGAAGAACTCAAGCGGCCAAGAATCTGCAGGGAAAGATCTCTCAAAGTTCAGACCAAAAACTGGAAGGGGAGCATCGCATGCAGTGACCATGGACACAGCGTGTGCCGCGCCTGGCACGGCCGCATTCTCCATCAGGAATGCGGTCCTCGATATCCCTGCTAGGAACTGTCCCCCAAGAGGGACTGGTACGCGGGACGTTTGAAGGTGGCACCCAGCCGGCCTGGCCCCAGCGGACAGAAGGATAGTTGCAAATTGGCCTTTCAGGAGCAGAAAAGAACTTGGCCCAACATCTAACGTTGTTGCTCACTGTCTGGGCATGACTGACTGCCTCCCAAACCGGTTCACCGAGTCACAGTGTTCCAAGCTGAAGGCCAAAGTCATGGGCTAGAGAAGAGAGACGCTGTTGTAGAGACTGCCCACAAGCAGAGCAGCGGGATCCCTCTGAGAAGGGTGGGAAAGATCTGCCGAGAAGCCAGCATTTTCTTCTCGCATGAAGAAAAGAACGTGTTAACGCTTCTTGCTTGCCACAGATCTGCACCCAGCCTGTCAACCTGCGGGAGCTGGAGCGGCGACAACTAAGAGTGAAAGCACATTAGAAAGAATTAACGGGTCCAGCAGGATTTAGAGCCAACTAAACATTCCAGGTTACACATCAGGGGAGGGTAGCAGGGTTCGAATAAGGCAAGCAGCAGCATGAGCACMGGAGAAAGCCCGAGCATCACCATAGTGAAACGCGGCACGTGAAAGCCTTCTCGGAGCGGTGGGTGTCCTCTCCCCATCCTCTCTTCCACATGGGGAAACCGTGCTCCTGGGACCACGTAGGAAGCATCTACCTCAGCATCTCCACCCCCTTCTTCCTAAATTCTGCTTAAACAAGATATTTTACTCGGTTCCCTCTCCTATCCCCAGCTGAACGCAGATACCACACCCAGAGGAAAACAAGCAGGGAGGTGCGTGCAGGCATGTACCCCAAGCCCGTATGTCCCGGGCACCCTCAAAATGAGCAGAGTATGGAACAGAGGTGCACCAGGAGCAGCAACCCACGGGGGAGAGGGAAGCAGGGGGCACCTGTCTGGGACACGGGAGCTGCTGCCCCAGGTGACACCCCCAAGGGCTCCGGGAAGGACGGAGGCTCCAGGATGTCGGCAGAGACGAGCACGGTTCAGCTGCGGCGCCGCTGCTGCCGGGGGAGCCTCGTGAGGCCGTGACATCCAGCACGGGGCAGGGGGGGATCCCACAACGTCCCACAGCGATGGCAKGGGGCAGTGGACTCCGCTGCCCCACAGCAGGGGCTGCCCTGGGCATTCGCAGGGCGAGGGGCTGCTGCAGGTCCCTCARCGCCACTGCTGCCCCACAGCCGGGGAGAGGGATGCCCTGGCGCCCCGCACCCAATGCGGCCCCCTGCCCCATGGCCAGCCCCACTGCCCGCCTCCAAAACCGAAGGGGCTGCTCCACCCCCCCTTTACGAGCACCCTCCAAGAGAAGCCACCCGTCCCGCAGCCGGGACACGGACGCGGCCCCGCCGCAGCCACCGAGGCCTGCGGGGCAGGGCCGCCCCCACCCGGGCTCACCTGCCCGGCAGCTTGGAGCTCCGCTTCCAGAACTGGCGGCCGCTCTCGGCTGCCATGGCGGGGGGGGGCGGGCCCCGGCCGGCCAGCGAGCGGGCGAGCCCACCGGCCGGCCGGCCCCGCGGCGGCGGCAGAGCGCGGAGGAAGGCGGCGCCCCCCCGCTAGGCCGCCTCACCGCCACCCTCCCGCAGACCCCGGCGGCGCCATCTTGGATGCGGACGGGGAAAGCGCCGCCATTGGCCACGCCGCTCCGGGCGCTGCAGATCGACCAATCACGAGCGAGCTGGTGGCGTGACGCGCCAGGTAAGGGCAGGACGAACGGGAGTGAGAGCGGGGCTTGGAGAGACCGTATGAGGGAATAAACCATTTCCGCCAGGGGCGGGGGGAGCGCGAGGCGGAACATTCGCACTGAAGGAGAACAGGAGGGCCCTCAAAGGGGCTGTGCGGCGGAACCGCCTCCCTGAGACAAGGAACCGCCGCCCGGGAGAGCAGGGCGATGGGCGGATGGGGACAAACCCTTAGCGCTGTGGACGGAGGCGCGCACCGTGACACCCCCGGCACGGGCAGAGAGATGGTGGAACCCTCGGGCGGGGTCGGGGAGAGCCCAGAGCAGAGGCGGGAAAACGGCCGCGGGCGGGGGAGCGCGGGTTAAACCATCCCGGGCGGAGGGGGGGAGCTGCGGGTGGAGGAGGCGCGCGCGGCGCGGGCTGGGCGCGGGGCAGCCCGTGCGGATGGGGGCTGGCAGTGCCCGTGGGCCTCGGGGCCGAGCCCTGGAGCCCCGGTGAGCATGGCGAGGAGGAATTCCAGCGTGCAATGCCTGCAGCCCCCAGGGCCGCTGCATGAGGACCAACGAGGACCATGCAGMCCAAGACCCTGGTGTAGCCCTGAGGGCCTCCAAGGACATCACGCTGGGGGGACTCGGGACGGCCCTCTGTGGGACAAACGGGGCCTCCAGGCACGCTGTTTCCTGGGGGTGACGCAGGCTGTTGTGCGGCCTTGCTGGAGGCCCGGCGGGGCCGCACGACGGGTCGCAGTGCCCGCTGCTTCCCGCGCTGCTCCCCTGCCTCGGTGATGAGGCACCGCGCGCTTCCTGCTGACTCCGTTCCCAGTTCTGCTGAATGACCCCACTGTGTTCAGACTTGGGGAGCCTCCTCAATCACTTTTTCCCTGTTTGGGCGCCTTGTGCAGTGTAAGGACCCTTTCCTTATCTGCTGACCTTTTTTTTTTTTTTTTTTTTTTCCCCAGAATCTGCCTACCTTTCCAGGCGAGGAGCACATGGAATTTCTTCTTACTGCAATCCTGGTGCAGCCAGGCACGACCCTGCAGAATTCAGACGTCAGGAGCCTCCTAAACCTCTGCGTTCACCCTTGGGGGCCTTTCTTAACAAATGCCAAATTTTGTATACTCCYGATAAACTCATAACATGCTGCTCACCTGGAGGCTGGCCTTCAGATGTAGGGCGCTGGGAGCACAGTGTGCACAGAGCTGCACCATTCCCGCACAAAACTCTGGAGTCATTGAGGGGTCRCGTGTGCATGGATGTGCAGAGGGCTCCGCAGGCAATGTGTACACAGAGGCTGAAGGATGCCGCACAAAAGCCAAGGGTTTCCCCAYTGCAGTGTGCGCACGGATAGCTGGGGAGGCCGCACAAATGTCCGGAGGTGCCTTGGGGCCCAGTGCGCATTGAGGCCTCGCTGGAGTGACTCTGGACATTGATCCTGCTTCCATATTCCTGCCCCTATTTAGCAGCCTTCTTCCCCGTTGCAGGCTGGCTCCAGGGCTGTTCCTCTCGGGGCAGTGGCTGGGCTCTGCCCGTGGAGGCCTGTGCTCTGACTGGCACTGTCTGTGTAGAGATGTATGTAATACCCTGTATATATTCGTGTACAGAAGAAAAAAATAGTTGTTCTTTTGTTCTTGTACTCTTTCATTGTGGAGTGGGGARCTGGAAGGAGAGACTGTGGCTGCAGCGAGGATGCAGAAGTGGACATGCCTCAGAGGGAAGAATGGGAGGTGTGGAAAAAGCATAGCAGAACGGATCTTGGTGCTTTCMTTCTTCCTCGTCCCCTGCTTCCCAACTCCATAGTATTTCTGCCACAGGACAAATCTCAAAGCTGTATATGGCAGCTCACGACATCTSCAGTTGGGAGCCCACTGCCCAGCTTGGGTGGGTGGCTGGCTAGCTGAAGGCCTTGCAAAAGCAGAGCTGGGAGCACTCTTTGCTGCATGATGCTTTCTGAAACTTAATGCTGTCTCCTAAGCCCACCAGAGCACCCAGGTACCCAGCACCTAGATGGMCTCCAGTTGAGTGTCACTACATGTCTTAGCAATGGCTGTTGCCTGCTCAACCTGTAGCAGTGGTGGGGAAGCAAGGTGTGGGGTAGGCTGCTGTGAGAACCCGTGGCCCCAGCCAGGCCACCTGCAGCTCGCCTGGCACAGGCAAAGMCACATTTGATGGCCTCCTGCCTCACAGCCCTGCCTTGAGTGGAGGCAAGCGGCATCCTGGCTTCCTCAGGACTCGGGTTTGTGTGGGGACCAGCAAGATCTTCCACAAGCTGTGGCAGGGTGAACACAGGCCAAAGGGTGCTGCCTGCAAGCCAACGATGAGAGGTGACACCTGGGTGCAGAGACACAGAACAGCAAGACCAAACACGAGGCACGTTACCTGCTGCTATAGTTGTGAAAGAAAAAGAGAATAACCATAAGAATATATTCACCCCATAGGCAACCCATATGCATGAGGTGCTGATTAACAGTCAGCTAAACAGGGGGCAGATGTAGAAGGCAGCCTTGAGGAGAGCAGAAGGGAATGAGCTGGTCAGCAGATAAGGAAAGGGTCCTTACACTRCACAAGGTGCCCAAACAGGGGAAAAGCGATTGAGGAGGCTCCCGAAGTCCAAATGCGACAGCATCACCCAGGAGAACTGGGACTGGAGTGAGAAGGAAGCACGTGGTGCCTCGTCACCGAGACAGTTGAACAGCGTGGGAAACAGCTGGCACTGCGACGCTTCGTGCCGCCTCGCTGAGCCTCTGAGTGGACTTGGACTCACAAGTCTGCACAAAAGCCCACAGGTTCCCCAGGGCCAATTGTGCACGGAGGCCCGGGGAGGCCGCGTGAAAGCCCGCRGGGCCCTGGGGTCGAGCTGCGCACAAAAGCCCACAGGGACCCCGGGTCCAKCTGCGCACAGACGCCTGGGGAGGCCGCGTGAAAGCCGACAGGGCCCTGCGAGGCCAGCCATGCACGGAGGCCTTGGGAGGCCGCACGAAAGCCCACGGGGCCCCCGGAGCCACGTGCACACGAGGCCCATGGAGGCCGCATGAATGCCTGCAGGGCCCCCGGGTGCAGCTATGCACAAAACCCCAGGGAGGCCGCACGAAAGCCCACAGGTACTCATGGGGCCAGCTGTGCACGGGGGCGTGAGGAGGCCGCACGAAAGCCCACAGGGCTCCCAGGTCCACGTGCGCACAGAGGCCCGGAGAGACCGCATGAATGAAAAGAGGGACCCTGGGGACACCTGCGCASGGAGGCCCGGGATGGCAGCATGAAAGCCCTCAGGGCCCCTGGGGCCAGCTGTGCGTGGAAGTCTGGTGAGGCCGCAMGAAAGCCCGCACGGCTCCTGGGGCCAGAGATCCATTTCCACAACAGAYTTGTGGTAAGTGAATACAGCACGCTCTGTTTGAACTTTACTTTGTAACTGCACACAAAAATCCCTTAGTCATAAACCGTTGACCAGGTCTGGGACTAGGATTGGATCCAGCTGCACCCAGACTCCTCTCAGTAGGAGCTTGGAAAGCAGGAGGGTCCAATCTGAACCTCGTGACGCAACGGGAGGGTATCCAAGATAATTGTGTATTATCTTAAACCTCCATGCAGTAAAAATAAGCGACCTTGCCATAGAATCTTGTGAAATTGTTGTCCATATTAATAAATACTATTATTTTTTCTTTCATACGAGTGAAGTGCATTTTGTCACTCACCCCCCCACACCCYGACATGTTCCGTGACAAACCTGGACAACTGGATGGAGAGAAACCTCATGAAGTTCATGGCCAATGGGATCCTGGCCTGCATCAGGAAGTTGTTGCCAGCAGGTCAAGGGAGGTGATTCTGCCCCTCTACTCAGCTCTGGTSAGGCTGCACCTGGAGTACTGGGGGCAGTTCTGGGCTCCCCAGTACAAGAGGGATGTGGAGCCCCTAGAGAGGGTCCAGCGCAGAGCAACTAAGATGACTAAGGGAATGGAACATCTCTCGTATGAGGAGAGACTGAGTTGGGCCTGTTTTCTCTGGAGAAGAGAAGGCTGAGAGGGGATATAATTAACATGTGTAAGTTCATGAAGGGAGAATGCAGGGAAGAAGGGGACAAGTTCTTCTCGTTGGTGGCCAGTGATAGGACAAGGGGAAATGGGCATAAGCTGAAACATAGGAAGTTCCACGTCCAGGTGAAGAGGAACTTCTTYAYTGTKAGGGTRACAGAGCAGTGGAACAGGCTGCCCAGGGAGGTTGTGGAGTCTCCTTCTCTGGAGGTCTTCAAAACCCACCTGGATGCCGCCCTGTGYCACATGCTSTAGGTGTGCCTGCTTGAGCGGGAAGGTTGGACTAGATGATCTCTAGAGGTCTCTTCCAACCTTGAAGATTCTGTGATTCTGTGAAGTTCACCAAGGGCAAGTCCTGCACTTGGGAGGAATAACTCCAGACACCAGTACAGGCTGAGGACTGACCTTCTGGAGAGCAGCTCCGCAGAGAGTGATCTGGGTGTCATGGTGGACRACAAGTTGACCATAAGGCAGCAGTGCCCTCATAGCCAAGAAGGCCAGTGGGATCCTGGAGTGCATTAAGAAGAGCGTCTCCAGCAGGTGAAGAGAGGTGATCGTCCCCCTGTGCACAGCCCTGGTGAGGCCACGTCTGGAGTACTGTGTCCAGTTCTGGGCTCCCCAGGACATGAGGGATGTGGAGCTGCTGTAGAAAGTCCAGCGCAGGGCTACGAGCGGGCCTGGAACATCTGCTCTATGAGGAAAGGATGAGAGAACTGGGCCTTGAAGAAGAGAACAGTGAGGGGGGATC